CCCCCCCCCGTCTTTCAAGAAAAGTAAAGGTTTTGCATGAATATAAATCACACTTCTGCATATTAGCATAGGTGAGAGCACGATAAGCTCTTTCACATTTTCCGTCTGGTTTGACCCACTTTTTAATCTCACAGCCTTTAATAGAGCTCTTAATCTTGGCATCTCACATTACATCAAAATGCTTAGCTGGCTCCCTCTCTGCAACCCTAATTGCTTGAGATATTGAGTGGCTCGGTTGGTAAACTGTGCCCACACCTGGTTTTTACACAACAGCTTTCCAGAGGCCAGCCCCACAGGCAAAAGAGCATTGTTTGAATTACATCGTATTAATCAATCGCTGTTCTCATTCTGTCACCAGAACAACACACAGTCATTGTCAAACCTCTYGAGGTGCCAAGAACAGTGTGCTTCTACCTGCCAGGTGTTTTTTCTTTTTTTCCCAAAAGGATTGTGTTTTCTGCTGATAGAAGCAAAACTACAAACAAGTTGTGGTAAATACTTCAGCTGTTGATCCAAGGGGACAGCGATACATAAACAAGTTTCACAAGTGAAAAAGGGCAAAGCAGAGGCGACTAAAGCCTCTCGTACAATGACGTGTAATTGATTCAGACAAAGTGGAACAAAAACATTGTCATTTCTAATGTTTTGCTGTGGCTTAATAAGATGATCCAGTAAACATGGATCTTCTTAGTGACAAACAGGCTTAAAAAATTACAAGAAATGCTAAGCATGTTTATAATATACAGCTTGGAACATTGCTTTGTTGTTACAGCAATGATTCAAGAATTTTGCAGAGGGATTCTGGGAAAAAGGTATGAACAATTAGAAATTTTTGATGGCTCTTTGAATGACTTCCAATTGAAAACGTTGTTTAATTCTGATTGGATTACACTAACGCAAAGTTTACTTAAACTAAAAACAAAGTGTGGATTTCACCACCATCTTAAAACAACTTTAATATAGTGGCAGCAGCAGCTAGCTGTAGCATTTCTGGTGCCAAGGCTGGCCAAAGCCGTTTTGATGCTTGTGCTATTTTCCACAACAATGCTCTAGGCAAGATTTCAGGTGGCGCCCCTGTGTAATTTTTTTTAATCTCTAATGAAATGCAGGTGGGAGCCWATGGGAGGAGCCGGAAAATGGAGGACATGTTGTCAAAAACAGACCAAATGTCAACCAAAGAGCCAGAACTCATAACAAAACTTAGGAAATACAAAACAAAGACTAAAACCACATTAAGCTTCAAACAAATACACAGAGCTGGCGCTAGCCAATTTGGCACCCTAGGCAAGATTTCCGGTTGCCGTTTGTGCAATGTTTTAATCTCACTGCCAATTTACTTACATTTTCATACGAAATAGTTTTGTCTTTCATATTTTTTTAATCTTTAGAAACCAGGTTGTCTATTTAAAATGGTTAATATAATTACTGTAATTTGAAACATAAGTTTACCTCATACCTGCCAATATCTGCTGACAGCAATGTGGAACACCTGTTCATGTTAATGAGCAGCCGTGGACCCAAGCAGTTCTAGTGGGGATCTAGGGACATACTCCTTTAGAAATCTTTGCTCAAAACTATGCATTTTGCAGCCATTTGAAGACGTTTTACCTAAATTTTTGTAAATAAAACAACAACATAAAATCAATATTTTATGAAGGTAGGTTAAAACCAAACTTTAACCTGAATTTTATTTAAGATCATAACTGAAGCTTCTTAGTAACCAGTGAATGTTCTACAGACTAAATAAAGTATAACCTGATAAAAAGTTATAAAATATATTTTTGGTTCCTCATTTGTGGTGCCCCTGAGGTGGACAGTGCCCTTAGCATTTACCTTAACTATCTATGCTGGTCCTGCAGTGAAGAGGGTGGAGTTCTAAGCTTTTACAGTATATGAGAAGCTCATTTACGTAATCTAGTTAGTAGCACCATTCCTCCCATTCATTGACAAAAGGCTCCCTACAGATTTGACCCAAACAAAAACAAACCAGCATGAAACRTGAAGTAAACAGAAAATTTGACAAACAGATAAAACCAGGAGTAAATACTGAGTCAAGTCAGATTTATTCGTAAAGTACATTAAGAAAACGTTACCAAAGTGCTGAACAATAAAAGGCCAACATTTAAATAAAAACAGTAAAACAACTTAACTTAAAAGCATAAGAAGATAATGACAAAGAACACAGAACAATGAAATGTTGAAATAACTCACACTTGGTTAAAAAGTTACTAAAAACAGAAAGAAATTTAAAAACAGAAAAGCTTGGCACCTGTCTAATGCTAGAGGGCAGATTGTTCCAAAGCTTAGGAGGACTAAAAAAGCCCGATCTCCTCTGAGCTTCAGCTTGGTTTCTTGATAGAAATTACAACAACAAACATGTAGAGGAGACCCTAATTATAGGATTTATCCAAAAGGAAAGTCTTAAGTCTTATCTTACAAATACACAGTGTCAGTCTCTCAGACAGAAACTGGAAGTTGGTTCCACAAGAGAGGATCTTGATAACTGAAAGCTCTGCCTCCCGTTCTACTTTTAGAAACTCGAGGAACCACAAAGAAACCTGCAGTCTGAGAGCGAAGAGCTCTGTTAGGAAAATATGGAACAATAAGCTCTTTAATATAAGATGGAGCTTGATTGTTGAGAGCTTTACATGTTATAAGTAAGATTTTTAATTATTTTATGAATTTTACAGGGAGCCAGTGGAGAGAAGCTAAAACTRAAGAAAACGAGTTTAGTCTGGTCTGTTTGTAATAAAAGCCTGTATTATTTTCTCACGGTCAGGTCTGGTCAACACTGTCTTAAGCTTAGCTATCTGCCACTGGTAAAAACTCTTCTGCAAAACAGAGTTCATTTGCATATTAAACTTAAAGTCAGAGTCTAAAATCATCCCTAGATTCATAACAAACTGCTTAAGATACAACAGAAGAGAGCCAAGTCMTGATGTGATGACAGCAGGTGTGCTAATGGAACACAGCTGGTTTGAAAGGAGCTGGAAACAAAGGGACGTCTAGTGGCAATGATGGTACAAATGAGAACCAAGTGAATTACTAAAACRCTCAACCTCTTAATAATTTCTTTACCTGCCTTTCCTTTCTGGGTTGCAGGGCAGCTGGTGCCTCACTGTACAAGAGGCTAGGTACACCATGTGTTTATACAGCCAGTTCATTACTTTTAAATAATCTCCAGGCAACGTTTGAGCTAGTTTGTTTGTATTTCAACTATTGTTTTGGTCATAAAACTTGTTTTTGTTGTTACAATGGTGCACATCGTAAATGTCTCAACTAAGGTAGAAGTCCTAAACCTGCTTGATCTTCTCCACCAGCATCTATAAATAGTTGCCAGAAGCTAAGTTAGCCTAAAAAATGTACTTTGATATTATCTTTGAAWGCAAGAAATAACAAATGCTCTCCACATAGTATTTCCAAGGCCGAACGATGAAGTCAGTTATATAAATTGTACAGTTGTTCAGAGAAAAAGCTTTTCTCCTTCTGAATTCCAATCACCCTCTGTRGCTTTTTCCTTTGTTCGCTCAGTTTCTCATATAAAAAGATAAAGCTGCCCAAAAGGCAAAAAGCATTGTGGAATAGCTGATGAAGTGCCAGATACATTTCATTAAACTCAGATGAGATCAAGTAATAAGAGAGTGCTAAAAGGAACACAGCGCTAAAAGGATCTATTTATCAGTTTAAAAGCCAGAGCTCTCCGGCGGCCTGAGMGCAAACGGTGAATTCTCAGTTTAGCTACCATGGGAGTCGTCTCAGAGAGGGGATTGGCACTGAGGGTCCCAGAAGGAAAAACCCCATCCTGCTATWTTTCATAATTACTGATATCATCAAACTGCAATAGTTTTCAAAATTTGCTACATCTCTCCCCGAAGATATGAACGTGAACTCATTTTTCAAGTTCTTTCTTGCATCTAGTGCGCTCTCTTTGTGTCTGCTTGGATAAAATAGTAGAAATAAAGATCATTGATCAGTGTCCCTGCAGGGAATTCCAACTCTTTAGTAAGAAATTAGATGATGAGTGACCGGTTTCAACAGGAGCACCGATGACGGCACTCAAAGGACTCGGGATTGAACCGAAACCCTCACCTCGGTGTGGTCCACTGTCAGTACAGCCTATTGTTTGATGCATTGATTCATTCATCACTGAAAAAATAATRAAATTAATTTTCAAAGCTTTCCCCTTTTGATGTATTAGGTCATTGATTTTAATGTGAAGCTTGTGGCATGATATAAGCCTTCCACAATTACGCTAATGAATATGTCAACTTGGATTAACTATCAGATGCTCACTTCCTGTAATTACCATGGCTTGGTTCTTCACACACACACAAACAGAARCACACACACACATCAGTGCTGACTGTCTTTTCATTTTTTTKAACACGTCTGTATTTACAGGTGGAGCCATTTCTGCCATATGAGTACACCTGTGAGGGAATGCTTGAACGACTCCATGCCTATATTCAGAATCAGGTGAGTAGAAGAATGTAATCATTATGTCTCCAAAGTAAACATTAATTGTGCCACATCTTTTTTTAGTAAATACTAAAACTGCTGGGTTATTTTGGCAACTCAATTTTCACAGGTTGGGTTAGTTTGAGCCAATATTGGGTCAAAAAGTTTGACTCAATATTTTATCAAACACGGTGACAAAGTCTTAGAAGGATGAGCTACCAATAGTGATGTCCTGAAACTGATACATTTGTCAAGTTGTACAAATTGTCTGTAAATTACATAAATAAAATTAAATAACCATCTCGCAACCCGCTCTGCCACTAGAAATAAATTCCCCAGCTCTTCCCGTCCTCCTTTTCCTGCTCCATTGCAAAGCAGATGCAAATAATCTCGACCCCACATTCTGTCTTTCCTCCGCTGCCTGCTCACACATCCACCCCACCCCACCCAACTGTGTGAGTACTACAGATTTTTTTTGCGAAAATTACAGATTTTTGAGGTTATTGGACAGGTAAACTACCTGAAGGAAAATGGAAAGGACATGTTACAGGCAACTTTCCAAATATTGAGGTATAGACAGCATTTTATCAGTCAGTTGAGAACTCCAAAAAAAAGAAGATTTTTTTTCTGATATTTTTGCTACTAATCCTAACAATCCACRTCTGTTTTTAAAACCATTAACTCTGTTCTTAATGCCCCACAATCACCCAGCCTGGAAAACTCAACTGAAGTGTGTCAGAACTTTGAGTTTTTTATCCATAAGGTTGCTAGAATTAGAGCCCTCATAGCCCTGCTTCCTATGACCTTTCCATCTCTGTCACATGCTCTGCTGTTTTCATTCAGTTTGAGCTCATCACTCTGCCTTTTTTAAAAAGAGATTACTAGTCATATGAAGCCTGCTGGGTCTCCAAAAGATACAAYTCCACCTCATCTTTTAAAAGAGGATTTTTCCACTGTGRCACCTGAGGTTTGCAATTTTATGATGGACAGGTACCAGTGAGTTTTAAACATGCTGTCGTGACAACATTCATTAAAAAGCCTGGCCTGGACTCCACCGTAGTGTCAAATTTTAGGTCAGTCTCACAACTCCCCTTTCTGTCTAAGATTCTGGAAAAAACATGTTTACTGCCAAAYCATTTTATATCTAAATGAGCACAAACTTCTTGAGCCATTTCAGTCTGGTTTTAAAACTCACCACAGTACTGRGTCTGCACTATTAAAAGTTTTTAATGACTTTTTTCAGCTACGGAMTCTGGTTACTGTGTTGTTTTGCAGCTGCTAGATGTGACAGCTGCCTTCAGCGTAGTGGACCATCAGATTCTCCTGTCTCGCCTAGAGAACTGGGTGGGCATTAAGRGTTCTGCTCTACARTGGTTTAGATCCTACTTATCAGATTGTAGTTTTTGTGTGCGTGTCAGAGCAGKTGAGTCCTCTGTAGCACCAGTCACACCTGGAGTACCTCAGGGCTCTATACTTGGCCCTCTTCTCTTTTTTGTTTATTTACTACCACTGGGATCTATTCACCAGAAACAGTATTTCTTTCCATTTTTTATGCTGATGACACCCAAATTCATGTCCCACTAAAACAGGAAAACCAATACCCCGTGAACCAACTTCTGGAATGTTTTCCAGAACAGGGATGGAAATTAGCACCTGCCACTGGCCAAATGCAGGTTAAATTATGAAGTGGCATGTAGATCTGAACAACATGTCTGCCATCGTAGCAGGTGTGTAATGAACTAAAAATAAGGCATTCAAATTTTGCTACTGACCTTTTTCAAAAACTCATTTTCATTTTTATTTTGCATTTCAGAGCCTGTAGGACGTTAAAAAACATTAAATAACATCAAACAACCATCTCCCAATCCGCTCATCAGCTAGAAATAACTTCTCCCCTCCTCCATTCCTGCATGCTGTCATTTGTGACCCCCCCACTCACACACACACACACATGTGCGCGAGTAGATGAGGCTCATTATACAGGTAAAGGTCCAATTATCATAAGGAGAAAATAAAACACCAACTTTAATGTGGCGTTACATATCTGGAGTTTATCGGGCTGCAAGTAACAAAACCCTTTCTCAAGAGGAACCAAAGAAAGAACYGAAAGTTGCAGGGTTTATTTATTTTTTAACAATAAATGGAAAGGAAAAAAA